AAGTTCTTTGTGAATCAATGGTGGATTTTGATTCTTTAGCTGAAAATGGATTTGATTTGCGTTCCATTATTGGTGCTCAAGGCTGGGTAAAGTTTTTTGATAGATTATTTGGACCAGTGTATCCACACTTAGTGAAGGAATTTTAGATTCATGCATCTGTTTACCCTAAGTTCATCCTATCTTCTGTTCTGGGAAGAGAGATCATAATCTCTGCAGATCTCATCAGAAAACTCATTGGGTATGAGGAAACTAATGGAGTTTGTCATCTGCCAGCTGGGCGTGTGGATATGGAAGAAGTGTATGCTGAAGTGATTTCTTCTGGACAAGCTTCAAATAAATTCAAGGATCTGAAACCTGATTACAAAATCTGGGCAAAGATTTTTCTGGGCTGCATCAACCACAGAAAATCAACAAATTCTCCAGATTATGTGAACAATGAACAACTGTATTTCATGTACTGCTTAAGTCAGAGTACCAAAGTGGATCTGCCATACATTCTCTTCATGCATATGTGGAATCACATCAATGCATCCAGAGAATCTATTAAGTCTAAGGGACAGAAGATCAGGACGTGGATTCCTTTTGGAAGATTGATCTCAGACATTCTGACAGAGAATGGTCTGGTAGCTGCTATATATGAAGCTGGAGTTAAAGAAGAGCTTGAGTCAATTGTTGGAAAACCATTGAATGGAAAGAGTCTTCAAAGACTAAAAGTTGTGGATGAACTCACAACTGCTCCTAAGAAGCTAAATGTTACTGAAGTAAGTCAGAGAAGGATTCCAGTTCAAGACTTTCCAATTTTTGGTGCTGAAGAACCTAGGGATATTATTCTTAGGTATATTGAGATGTGCAAGGCAGATGGAACACCTGTTCCTGCAGATATTCTGATACGAGCAAGAGAACCTATTCCAGATGTGTATGAGGAGAACATGAGAAAGAGAAGACAGTTAGAGGCAGAAGAAGCTGTTGTTCAGAAGAAACAAAAAGTTTCTGAAAAACCACAGAGGCAGATAAAGAGAAAAGCTTCTGGAGAAGTTCCCTTTGTTCCTACCAAACGCATCAAGACAAAAGGTACTAAAACATCTTTACCTTCTATTCCTGAAATTACAGTAGATATATCAACAATTAGTTCTGTTCCAAAACCCCCTCTTTCTAAAACTCAAACAACTTCTTGTCCATCTCAAACCTCTGAACCACCTACAACATCTGACCTTGTTCCCTCAACACCACTAAAATCATTTGAAATTCCTCAATCTAAACCACAAACAACAACACCAGCTGAACCAATTCCAACACAACTTCAACCTAAAATTCAACAATCCTCTGAACCTGAACGAATACAATCTGAACCAGTTGCATCTAAACCACCAAAATCCATATCTTCTAATCCTCAACCAGAACAATCCAATCCTGCTGAGTCAAATATACCTGATTCTGAGGTTCTGAATATTAAACCTCTCAAGACTGTGTTTGAAGTATCTTCTACATCTTGTACCCTAACCACCTCATCTGATTCGTCTGAATCTGATGTGCATCCAGAGGTTAGCTCACCCCCCTCTCTCAGAGGATATGAACCCAAGCAATCAGATCCACCTGTTTCATCTGATGCTATTATTCTTGAACCCACTCCAACACCTACACCTAGGACATCTGAGTTTGTTTCAATTGCTTCCTTTAAACCACTTCCCTCTGATCCCCTTCCTTCTAGTTTAAAGCTTAAACATTTCTATACCAGAATAGAACCAACTGAACCAGTCACTCCATTCAAACCTATTCCTTCAACCATTCTTCCATCTAATCTTCAAACCCATTTTGAACAATCACCAGATTTTATTTCATCAGAACCTCTGTTGTCTGATAAATCTGTTTTCATTCCCTACTCTTCCACTACATTTGATGATGTTTCCTATGCATCACGTGTAAAACCATTTCTGGTTAATGCCTTATCCAGATCCAAAATTGCCACTCCGTCTGACCATCCATCTTTTCCTTTCTACCCTCATCTTCTCTTCATCATTCCAAAATTTACCATACCTGCACCATCTGTTCAACCCAAGCCTCTCACTTTGGAAACCCTTCTCAAACCCAAACCAAGGCTTAATGTTGATATACTATTTGCTAATTTTCTGAAAGAAATAAAGATGAATTTAGGCTCTGTACAGAAAAGATGCTTGTCAACCATGAACTCAGCTGAATCTGATGCTATCTGGAATAGCTTCATTTCCAGATTCAATACAGTTGCTTCAAATCTGAAGAATGTATGATTTGATGATGCAAAGATCAGGTTTTCTGAGACTGCTAGAACCATGGTATGGAACATGAAAAGATCTGCACCTTTGCTTCTTGAGGATGTACCTTCATCTTCTGAAGTATCTGCTACAGAAGCTTTTGCAGAATCTGCTTCTGAAGAAAATCCATTGGCTCTGATAATAGTGGACAAACCTTCTGCATCTATGGATCCAAACTCTACAACTTAAATGGTTATTGACTCTGCACCTGCACCAGAATCTGCTCCATATTCTTCATCTGAGATCAAGAAAGAGAACCCAGACTTAGAAGATAAGATTGCAGTATTGGAAGCTGGGCAATCTGAGATCAAGTCATTGATGGCTAAACAAGATCAGAAGAATGAGCACTTGGCAAAATGGATGTCTAAGCAAGAAGAATCTTCATCTGAAATCACTCAATCTCTGAAGATGATTCTTTCCAAGCAAACCTAGTCTTATGTTTTTTTGTATCTGATGTTTGTGCACATGTACTTGACTTTATTATTTGATGATTTGTCTGTTTGTTTTTATCTGAATGAATGAATGAATGACTCTGTTGTTTTCTATACTTGAATGCATCTTTTCTCTATTTCCTTTTATTTTGTCTTTAAAAGTTTTTCTTTTTGATTATGACAAAAAGGGGGAGAAAATGGATCTGACTGTTCAAATAAACTCTACCTAAATGAAATTCAGACATATCTAATTATAACTAACGTGAACTCTTAGTATTTCAGAACATATGAAAAATCTGACAAATTCTTTAAAGTAACTCTGAGATCCCCAGATCAAGCTTTATCAAATCAAGCTATGACTCTGAAACATTTATCCAAGTTAAGATCTTATTTTTTTGGAACAATCAGGTTCTGATTCTGAAAAGAATACTAATGCAAAAAGGGAAGTTTCTATTCTTTCTAAGTATTCAATTCGGGGGGAGATTCATAATCTCAGGGGGAGTTATAATTATTGATTTATTGAACAAAATTTCTTATGTTTTTGTCATCATCAAAAAGGGGGAGATTGTTAGAACACAGATTGGTTCTTAATTATATATCTATATTTTGATGATAACTCTTATGAAATTTTGTATTAAGAAATTATATACTCTAAAAATTGTTAAAGTATGTTTGCTGCAGATATTAATGTTTAAATACTTCTAAAAGCAAATTGGATCTGAACATTAAGCTATGTAAGGCTCTGAAGCGTCATAAGCATCCATTAGAAGAACCTGAACGCTGCCTACAGAAGATTTTGAGCGCTGCCTACAGAAGGATCTGAAGCAGAAGCTACAGAAGCATCTGGAGCATAGTCTGAAGACTTCTGTATGAAGAGTTTCAAACACAGTTTTTCAGAAGACTCTGATGGTACGCTGCAAGTACTGAGGATTTGATCCCTAAAACTCTACTCTAATGTAATTACACGCTGAAGCACACTTGCTGCATTGCTCTGATTCAGCAAACTCTGATGAACATCAAAGATTCTGATCACTCAAGGCTCTGATGTTATTTGCTGAGTATTAGAAACTTGTTGAAGAAGAATTCAAAGTTATGTCCGTTGGTTTGGCCAAACGACTCTTTTCTCATTTATGCTAGACAAAAGAACACATACAAAAAGGATTTCTCTGTGCATTCTACTTCTAGGAAAGGTCAAGTGATGTGAAGACAAAAAGGCTACAACTATTTTCAGTACACAACCTTCAACGTGAAAACTATTTGGACTCCTGTGCCTATAAAAGCAAGTCTCCAACACTCTTCTTCAGTTGACGATTTTATTGAAAGAAATTCATTACAAGCTCTCATACAATTTATTCTCATTGCTGAATTTATTTCATACGTTCTTAAAACTTAAGTGTAAAATCACAGTTGTGATATAGCTTACTTAGAAGCATTCAAACACTTGTTTAGTTCTTACATTTAATTGTAAAAGTTCCTTGAGAAGACCCAGTTGTGGTCAGTAATTCTTGAGAAGACTAAGAACAGTTGCTCTTAGTGCTTGCTATTGTAATCAGTTGATTAATAGTGAATTAAGTTCTTGTTGAGAAAGACAAATCACTCTTGATAGGGTGGACTAGAGTAGTTGAGTTCAACAAACTAGGATAAAAATCTTTGAGTTTTTATTGCCATAAGTTTTTTCTATATACTTATTCAACCCTCCTTCTAAGTATTTTTTCACCTTCACAAATAATCGTGCCAATTTTTTTATCAAATACAATCTACTTTATACTTTAGACTCTTTTGTTAAGATTATTTTCACTACTCTCCTCTCTTTAGTGCCATTTTGTGTCCAATACAACTCACTTTGTTAGTGTAGAACAACATAAGGGAGATAATATCTAGTGGTGTAGTTTTGCTACCTTTTCTTACGTTTTCCATTTACATAAAAAACTAATGAATTGTCCCTAATTTCTGGTCTAAATTAAAGCATTGCTCATTGTAAAGAAGAATAATATCCGTGGGCTCTAGTTACTACCTTGTTTCCCAAGACAATATAGAACCAAACCAACGTGCACCTTTCTTGACCCCAAACAAGCTTTTATACTTGAAAAAAAAAACCAAGACGACGTCGTTTTTGCCTAAACCACTTGATATTATCTCCCTTATGTTGTTCTACCCGACAACTACCAATATCACCATCATTTTATCGTATCACGTATTTGTTTTTTCAGATCTAATAATCGTGAATTAAGATTTTATTTATACTTCGACCTCGATAATACTATTGTTCCTCATTCATATCATGATTTTTTCAAGGATTGGACGCTCTCTCTCGCGTTCTTCTCGCGTTAAAGTAGGTTTTTTTCTTTTTCTTTTTCTCTTCATTCGGTTCATTTCTTCACGCAAGATTTTAACTTTGATGATTCTTTTTCATTGGGTTGTGTAGAATTTGTTGCACGGTGATTCGAGATTGGGAGCGTTTTCTGGAGTTCCGCGAATAGATGTCTGTTCTGAGGGTGTTGAAGGGGGATTAGGGTTTTTCAGGGGTTTCGTATCTTCTTCAGTAGCTCGCAATAATGGTTTTGTTTCTAATTTGTCTGATTTTAAATCTGGTGCCGCAAACCCTAGGCTTCTTCGCTTGTTTTCCAGCGAAGCCCCCAAGAAGAAGAGTAAGTTAGGGTTTCATTGTGATTGGCTCTTAATGTTAGTGTATGGTTTCGATTCTGATCAGTATTTTTGTGTTTTTGGCAGATTATGAAAACTTTTATCCTAAGGGACAGAAGGAAGTACCTAAAGGGAATGACAAAAAGAATGAGTCTAAAGGTGATGAAATGAAATATTGGTTATATACTTTGTTTTATTGTGAATTGGGAAACTGTAACGAAAAATTATTTGAGAGTTCTGGTCATAGCTGATGTGATGAGCAATGTGTTACTCATGGAGCTTTTTGTTATACTAAATTTGGTATATTTTTATAAGTGAATTTTTGTCTTAGACTTTTTTTAGTAGCATTTATTACACATGAACCTTCTTTCTGATGAGATACTTGAGAATGAGAATCAAGTAGCATTCTACTAGTTAGTGTTGGATTCAAACTTAAATGAACACTTTATACTATATAGGTGAGTTTGGGTTCTGAAGAACACATCTTCCAATCCCAACTATATGCTCTGTCTAACTCATGTTTTTGGTTTATACTGGTTTAGTTTTGAGGTACTTATGCATGTGTGTGGGGAATTAATCTTGCATCTGCATTTTAGTTTGTCTTGCAATAAATGGTAACTACCAGAAACATCTGACACTTGAATTCATGCTTTGGTTTCAGAGGATTCTAAGTCAAACACAGAGGATCAAGGAGGTTTTCAAGAAGCCTTCATGAAGCAATTTCAAAGTTTTCTCACCCCATTGTTGGTGATGGGGCTATTTCTTTCATCCTTTTCTTTTGGTCCTCGTGAGCAGCAGCAGGTAACCATAACTTTAAACATGTTTGGGGCTATTAATTTGCTTGTGCTGATGAAGTTGGTTTGAGGTGGCGAATTCAAGATATTATGTTAATTAGATGTTAGTTTTACATGGGTATAATATTAGGAGGGCCTCAGGGATTTTATGTGACATAAAGGAAGATACCACTCAAGCCGAAGAGGAAATTTTATCGGACTGCGGTAAGACATGTGATGTATATGGGTCAGAATGTTGGGCGATTAAGAATCAAAACGAGAATAAAGTGTAGTAGAGACGAGGATGTTGCAATGAATGTCTGGTAAGACCAAACATAATAGGATTAGAAATGAAAATATTAGAGTGATGTGGTAACACCTATAGTAGAAAAGATGGTGGAAAATAGACTTAGGTGGTTTGGGTATGTAGAGAGAAGGTTTGTAGATTCTGTGGTAAGGAGAGTAGATTAGATGGAGAAGAGTCAAACAGCTAGAGGTAATGGAAGACTTAGAAAAGCTATAAGAGAAGTTATTAAGAAAGATTTTGATATTAACGATTAGGATAGAAGCATGGTCTTGAATAGAATATTATGGAGAAAGTTTATCCATATAGCCGACCCCACTTAAGTAGGATAAGGCTTGGTTGTTGTTGTAGCTAGAAGTTACTGTTTGACTGCAATTTTATCATTGAAAAGTGAATATCTATGAGACAAGCTTTGTGCTGCTGTGATTGACAGAGCTTTTATTGAAGGTCCATTAAACAAGAATACTATTAGGATGTGTTTAAGGTTTTTTATTATCCTTTTTTTTTTTGCTAGCATCTGATTACAAGTCTCAAACTGGCTTGGCTTTTAAACAATTAATGACATTTCACTATATTTTATTTGTCCCAAGGGTGCCTTTGTATGATAATTACCGCGCTGCTGTGATTGGCAGCTTTTACTGAAGGTCCATTAAACAAGAGTACTATTAGGATATATTTGAGGTTTTTATTATCTATTTTTTTGGCTAGCATCTTGTTTCAAGTTTCAAACTAGCTTAGTTTTGAACAATTAATGACGTTTCACCATATTTTATTTGTCCCTAGTGGGCCTTCATATGATAATTAGCGTGCGAACCTTTGTTTGATAATTACAATGTAAATTGAACTACATGCCCTGTGACAACTCTTCATCTTTGTCTGGCTTTTGTAGCCTATTTAGTTATTATCATATTACTAATGAAGATAAGAATTTGATTCTCAGCAGATTAGCTTTCAGGAGTTTAAAAATAAGCTTTTGGAACCAGGATTAGTAGACCATATTGTTGTCTCCAACAAATCAGTTGCCAAAGTATATGTAAGGAACTCTCCCCGTGATCAAACTGACAGCGAAGTACTCCAAGGAAACCTTCCTGCAAAGGGCTCTACTGGCCACTATAAATATTATTTCACTATTGGAAGTGTCGAGTCTTTTGAGGAGAAGTTAGAGGAAGTGCAAGAAACACTAGGCGTGGACCCTCACGATTATGTACCTGTTACATATTCTTCTGAACTGGTTTGGTTCCAGGAGTTGATGAGGTTTGCTCCAACCTTGTTACTTTTGGGAACTCTCTTGTATATGGGAAGGAGAATGCAAGGTGGATTTGGTGTTGGTGGCGGCGGCGGTGGCAAGGGTGCTCGTGGAATATTTAACATTGGAAAAGCGCATGTTACTAAAGTAGATAAAAATGCCAAAAACAAGGTTGGTAACTTATTCTTCTATAAATAATGGATAATGTTTTTCATATTTGTTTTTAACAACATTTTCTCTAGTTGACCATTGCCTTTCCCATTCTCACTTTTTCTTTAGGGTGTTGTGGTGGTGAATAGCTTCAGTGATAAGTTCATTTAAGAGAGCATTTTTCTTATTTGAATTCATTTTGTTCAGGTCTATTTTAAAGATGTTGCTGGCTGTGATGAGGCAAAACAAGAAATTATGGAGTTTGTGCACTTCCTCAAGAATCCTAAGAAGTACGAAGAGCTTGGTGCCAAAATTCCAAAAGGTGCTCTTCTGGTCGGTCCCCCAGGCACAGGAAAAACCCTTTTAGCAAAAGCAACTGCAGGGGAGTCTGGTGTGCCATTTCTTTCTATATCTGGTTCCGATTTCATGGAAATGTTTGTCGGTGTTGGACCGTCAAGGGTGAGAAACTTGTTTCAGGAAGCAAGGCAGTGTGCCCCCAGTATAGTATTTATTGATGAGATTGATGCAATTGGTCGGAAAAGGGGCCGTGGAGGTTTCTCTGGTTCAAATGATGAGCGTGAAAGTACTTTAAATCAGTTGTTGGTGGAGATGGATGGTTTTGGAACCACTGCTGGAGTTGTTGTGCTAGCAGGTACAAATAGACCTGATATATTAGACAATGCCCTACTTAGGCCTGGGCGTTTTGACCGCCAGATAACAATTGATGTACCCGACATTAAAGGCCGTGACCAGATTTTTCAGATTTACTTGAAAACAATCAAACTTGACCACGAGCCCTCATATTATTCTCAAAGGCTTGCAGCCCTTACTCCAGGTTTTGCTGGAGCAGACATTGCTAATGTTTGCAATGAAGCTGCACTGATTGCTGCAAGAACTGATGAAGCACAAGTCACAATGGATCATTTTGAGGCAGCTATTGATAGAATCATTGGTGGTTTGGAGAAGAAGAACAAGGTAGGCTTTTAAAAGCTGGTTTGTTGTTTTTTATATGAAAAAACACCTTTTTAAAATAAGAACTAAATATTTGCAGGGCGTGACTTGCTAAGCTGTTAAAAACTATCGGATAATGAAAACATAAACAATTTTTTTTTTTAAAATATTTGAGAAGCTATTTTGACTGAAAATTATAGTGATTTTTTAAACATTAACTTTTGAATAAAAGAGTGCTTTTTGTTTTTGTAACTTCAAGAAATATTGCCTCTGTTTTATGCAAAATATCACAAATATTTTTACAATTACTCACTCAAGCCATCTTTTCAAAATTTTCTTTATCTAATATGAAGAAATAGTTTATATTACGTTGTAGTGTTGTAGTTCAAGACATTGTGATGATGAAAATTATGTTACAGTGACCTGAAAATGATTAGAGTTGTCCACTTTCCTTTTTTTTTCTTTCAACTATTGGTTATAGTCTCTAAAAATACTCATGTTTCATATCTAGGTAATAAGTAAGCTGGAAAGGCGTACTGTTGCTTACCATGAAGCAGGTCATGCTGTTACAGGTTGGTTCTTGGAACATACTGATCCATTGTTGAAAGTAACTATTGTTCCTCGCGGAACAGCAGCTCTTGGGTTTGCGCAGTATGTTCCTAATGAGAATCTTCTCAAGACTAAGGAGCAGCTTTTCGATATGACTTGCATGACCCTTGGTGGCCGGGCTGCCGAGAAGGTTGTTTCATCATTCTCATTTAGTATACTCACCTTTTTCCAATAATCCATTGCTTTACCATGATTGATGGAGACAGGAATGATGGTTTCTGTCCCTTTTTATGGCAGGTTCTCATTGGGACAATCTCTACAGGAGCACAAAATGACTTAGAGAAAGTGACCAAGATGACTTATGCCCAAGTAGCCGTCTATGGTTTCAGCGAAAAAGTGGGTCTCCTCTCTTTCCCTCAAAGAGAGGACTCAATGGAGATGACCAAACCATACAGCAGCAAAACTGGTGCAATAATTGATACTGAAGTCCGAGAATGGGTGAACAAAGCATATGAACGTACCATACAGCTTATAGAGGAACACAAGGTGAAAGTAGCCGAAATTGCAGAGTTGTTGCTTGAAAAAGAAGTACTTCACCAGGAAGACTTGCTTCGAATCTTGGGCGAGCGGCCCTTCAAAAGTGCTGAGCCCACTCATTATGATAGATTTAAGCTAGGGTTTCAAGATGAGGAGAAAGTTGTTGAAACCACAGTAAATGAAGCCAAGGATGATGGTGACTCACCTCTAGAGCCAGAGGTTGTTCCCACATAGCTGAGGAAGTTTATGTTTGTTACCATTGTACATGAAATTGACAATCTTTTTCCGCCATTTTGCTGATATGGACAAAACTTGTCTGATAATTCTATAATAAAAATATTGTTTCTGATTTTTTTTCTTAAATATATGTTTTCCTAAATATTTTGATACATGTTTTCCTAAATATTTTGATGATTTTAATGATGTTTGTAGGTATAAGAGTAACAGCTTATAGTTAAAAGATGCTTTATTGGACAACTGTATTTTATTTTATTTTTGTTTACCCATTTTATTTTTCTGAAGAATACTTACGTTTTCAATTGAACTAAGTTTTTCTTTTCTTTTTGCCAATGCCAACTTTTATTCTTATGGGACTTAAAGGGCACACATTAATGATATATTTGCGGAATTATTCATTTGAAATGGATGCATTTAATTTTTTCTTTAAATTATGAACATTGTTTTAGATTTTAATCTAGATACATTGATGATGTAAAACAAGTTAAGAATATATTACTCTCCCATATCATAATTCATAAGTAATTATATATTACTATGTCATATTATACAAGTAAATTATTATATCATATTATACAAATAACTTAAAAAATTTAATTTGATTAGGAGGTACATGAAAATGTAAAGTTAATTACACTTTCAATGTATCATTCCTTTTCTCTTTTGTTTTATGCAATTCAATTTTTTATTTTATTTATTTTCTTTCTGTTCATTGATAAAATGGTAATAACTTTTAGAAACTCACACACATTACATATGAGTCCTAGTGATAACATTCAATTTAATATTGGTATTTTGAATCTAGAATCAATTTTAAATTTCAAAATTATTAAATAAAATACAAATAATATTATCAAATGATTAAATATTGGGTAGCTATTCAAGAAAACTAAAGTACCACATTGTTCACTATATCTAAATTTAGTTTTATCAAAATTAAATCTTACCACCACTTAAATAAAAATAGACTTTTTAAATATGTTTTGTGAGAGCTTAAAGGAAACTCCAACATCACCCAAATTGTAGTCCCAATATAACTTATGCTTGCATGTTAGTCGACCTTTTAGAAAAAATTCTATTGAATACTTTTAATTAACCTAACATTACTTATTCCTAAACTTTTACGTGTCAAAAGAAAATATAACATAATGCAAATATATATATATATATATATATATATATATATATATATATATATATATATATATATATATATATATATATATATATATATATATATATATATATATATATATATATATATATATATATATATATATATATATATATATATATATATATATATAAAATAATTATAAGTATCAGGAAGGATTAATAAAATAGTTAGAAGTTTTTTCGTTCTTTAATCCAAATAATTGTCAATAAATAATATAAAGTTATTGAGATCGTTCTGGATTACTACCAAAACTCTAGAAATGTTAGCACAATATTCATATAGTTTTTACAAAATATTCTTATTTTGTAATAAGTTTCTTTTGACTCTTAAAGAAAGCGAGAGAAAAAAATCTATCCATTATTTAAACTTTTTATTAACTCCGATTATTATTGTCAAAATTTAAAAAAAGAATCGCTTAAAATTAGAGTTAATCTAATTATACTTTTTCAAGCTAAGGAGCATAGATTTATTCAAAATGAAAATTTATTTAAAAATTATATTCTGTTTTAATTAAAATGTTAAGGTAGAAATTTTTTTTATTTATGAAAAAAATATTCGTGAGTGAATTACGATTCATCTGCTTTGGTTTATAAATTCATGTCATGAGACAACCAACTTGTACACATCACATTTTTTCTCTCTGGGATAGAACAACATAGCATAAACTCTTCACATATTTCTTTTCTCCTCTACACCATTTCATCTCTTTGAAAGCTAACCCCTTTAATTGGGGTATGGTTTTTCTTTCCTTTAAGTGAAAATATGATTCTTGACATTTCATTTTCTATTTTGGTCATCTATGAATTTCTATGAACATAATGACTTAAGAGTGTTTTAAAAGAAATAAAAATAAAATTTATTTATGGGATTTAAGGATGAATACTGTGTATATATATTTTTATATATTTTTATATATATATATATATATATATATATATATATATATATATATATATATATATATATATATATATATATATATATATATATATATATATATATATATATATATATATATATATATATATATATATATATATATATATATATATATATATATATATATATATATATATATATATATATATATATATATATATATATATATATATATATATATATATATATATATATATATATATATATATATATATATATATATATATATATATATATATATATATATATATATATATATATATATATATATATATATATATATATATATATATATATATATATATATATATATATATATATATATATATATATATATATATATATATATATATATATATAAGTTGATTATTTTTCTTTTGA